AATGCTACTACTACTACTAATAATAATAATAAATGCATAAATAAAACTCACCGTAGTCTAGATACCACATCTGTCCTAGAGATGGTATCTTAGAAAAATCAACCCCATGGTTGTAAAAGATAGAACATCAAAAAATACAAATCTCAGTGTTTACAAATCATACCGGATCGGTCGTCATCCTGTTAAACAAGGGCCGCGTACCTCAGAAAGGAAACAGTCTGGGGTCGAAAAATCTGTCACTGTAACAAATTCTTCAACCAAAAATGAGACAACTGGTCAACAAAATTGCATCAACTTTAGCTTTGGACCTGGGGACTTAATGTCAAATCAAACAATAGAAAGAAAGTGAACGAAATGGAATCGTGAAGAGTATAAATAAGTCATGACATCTTTCTTCACTGCAGTCGAAACTAGGAACTAGAACTAAAATAAGACCCTGTCTCGACCCAACTTTTCTTAGCAATCTACGCAAGGATATTGTGCGAAATAAAGGACTCTCAAATACAGAAATAGATGAGATAAAACTAAACATACCACAAAGTAGAATCAGACATAATCCAATCAAATATGAGGCAAGAGTGGAAATAGATAATGTAACAGAGGATGAGATACACACTAAAATAAATGAGATACGAAATAATGACCTCTCAGGAAATAAAACGGAAGAATCTAGCTGCGACATAAACAATTGCGCTGATTCGGATTCTGTTAGTGATGAAGATGAACCAAGAGACATTAGTGCAGAATTCCTTGAAAACAACAGAGCTGAAATCACTGAAGGGAAAAATCAAATCATTCAAATAATCAGCAAAGTAACTCGCACACAAATGTCAGAAAGAGACCGGCTTCCAAGAATTAACCTGACAAAGTCCAACAAGCATATTGTGCAAACATATAACGCAATATAGCAAATATTGATAATGGATAGACTACTAGAAAACAATACAGAACTAAATAATAATAGCTGTTCACTCGTATTCGAGGATACCCGTCTAGTCAATCCCTGTTGCAGAGGCTCGCTCAGGCAGATTTGTGTTTGTTCAACACCCACAGAGCTAACGTGTGGTTGCAACTATGCTGAACAGACATTTCTATCGTGATGAATAATTTGAACAAGGCCGGCACGCCCAAGCCCTCAGCCACAATGACTTGCTGCACAATTTCACTCACAAGGTTGCATCAACCTGTAGTATGGTTTTCAGGCGCTTTCCAAATGTGTTGCACGTTGCGATCGTCCTAGATCTAGTGCAATAACATCAGGATAAATCGACCATGGTGAGATTCGAACCCGGGTCTCATGGTCAGAATGCGAACGTTCTAACTCCTCGGCCGCGTGCCCAGAACGAAATAACGTGAAAATAGTGTGAAATAATAATAATAATAAAAACATGACTGGGTGGGCAAATATTTGCACTAAAAAGCTTTCAATTTTTACAGTGAGAAAGTGCATGGAATTGGCATGAACTCCACCCAGATCCAGTTATAGTCATCAGACCAATAACATTCTATTGAACTGCAAAATACACACATACAGAACAATCTAAGTCAATTGCACTGGCATCATGATCAGATAACAACAAGAAAGGAATGTCCTTTCTTACTGACATGGTAATTGATTACCTGACTTTGTTCTGACATATATATATATATATATATATATATATATATATATATATATATATATATATATATATATATATATATATAAATATAGATAACTAGACTCGTTTTGAAAAACCTCGAATTTTTGGTTTGTTAATCAAATCAATCTCGAGGGAAAAAAAGGTTTTAAAAAAAGAAAGAGCTACAAACATGAACTTCTGCCGACAAAAAATCGCACAGATGCAGGTCTGAAGCCCAAAGAAAAAAAACCCTGATACGAGTAACAACTAACTAAAAAAAGAGCTCAATACAACCATATATATATATATATATATATATATATATATATATATATATATATATATATATTATATATGTGTATGTATATCAGGTCATCCCATAAGTTCTGTCCGAATTTTGAATAAAGAAAACAAGTGACCAAATGTTACATTTAATTACCCATTCAATCAACAATGTATTTTCCCTGATTATCTATGTCTTCCTTCCATCTATTAACAAGCTTACCTATTCCATTACTGTAAAATTATTTTGGCTTTGATTCGAAGAACTCAGAAATGTCAGTTTTAACCTCTTCCTGTGTTACAAAAGCTGTTTGTTCCAAATGATTCTGTAAGCTACGAAACAAATGGTAGTCTGAAGGAGCAAGATATGGAGAATAAGGTGGATGAGGAATTTTCTTGCTGTGTGGAGTCGCGCATTGTCCTGATGAAACATCACCTCTTTTCGATTCACTAGAGCAGGTCTTTTTTTCCTCAAAGCTTGGTTCAAACGCTCTAATTGCTGACAGTATATTTGAGCATTAATTGTTGCATTAGGTGGTAAGAATTCAAAGTGGATTATTCCTTGGTGATCCCACCAGATTGAAAGAAGAACCTTTTGCCCATGAAGTTCCCTTCTCGGCTGTGGCTGGGGTCCTTCCCCTTTACCAAGCCACTGTCTACGACGCTTAACATTTCGATAAAAGATCCATTTTTCATCACCAGTCACAAGTCTATCCAAAAAAGGTGAAACAAGTTGTCGAGAATGGAGAGAAGAGCAGATGTCAACTCGGGATTTGAGGTTGTTTTCAGACAATTCATGAGGCACCAATTTTCCAAGTTTAGGAACTTTTCTAAGTTATTGAAGATGACGATGACAGTTGTATGGTTTGAACTGAGAACTTCTGCCAATTCTTTAACCGATAAAGCAAGATTTTCTTCAAGGGCTGCTTCAAGAAGCTTTTCATAAAATTTGATCAATTTAAATGTATCTAAACATAAAAATAATATTCAGCTCGATTAGACATTATAAAATACTCTTTAAATTTCATTCATTTTAACAAAAAGTTAAAATTCGGACAGAACTTATGGGATGACCTGATATATATTTTTGACCCTCCAAAAAACACAATGAATCAAAAAAAAAAAAAAAAGAAAAAATATTACCCTACCAACTCTATCACATTTACAATCGAAAAGAATCTATCAAAAATCAACATAAAATTTGCTGCTACTATATCCAAAACAATAAATGTTAGTAAATACTTAACAAATCAATAAGCTAAAACCTCAAGTCACCACAAATACATATGAGAAACCTCAAGGGATTATATGAATACAGATGGAAGATTTTATAAAACAATATGTCAAATGAGTTGGTTGCCCACCAAAACGAAACTGAACACGATTCTGACATAAGAAATGCTACTCTTATAAAAGGAGAATCAATTCTCGACGACGTAAATGTCTAGAGAGTGCCTTAATCACAAGGTCATCTACAGTAAATTTGCGCCCTGGCTTTTACAACATTTCACCATTCCTGGCAGATCTATTATCACAGTGTAAAATACCTGCAAACAAATTGATGGAAAGGAAAATAAAATCACTCTAAATGAATTCGGCTAGATAAAAAAAAAAAAAAAAAAAATTCTAAATTTCCCAGCATCCCTGGTTCATGTGCATGTACAGTCGAATCAACATAACAAATTTAGATCAATGAACTCCTGAAAGACGAAACGCGTCACAAGTAAAACTTTACCATTTTTTCATAGTATATATATAGAATAATGAAGTGAAATGAATCGAAGAAGACATATGGACGCATCCATTGGGCCTAGGACGCACCGCCAAGCCGATCTGAACGGAAGAAAGAAAACTGTTAAAATAATAAATTTAATGAATGGATAAAATAAAAAGAAATAAATTGCAAGGAATACACAAATAGTTTTTACTTTTGTAGTTTTGTGTCTATATGATCATTCCGCAAAGAAGGCCAGGATTTCAGAAGAGAAAAGGAGAGAAACACAACGTTTTGAAGATGAAGAATAAAATATGCCCTGTGAGTGTCATATTCTCCAAGCCCTCTTTCCCTATTTTGTGTACTAGTGATTTCAGTTGTCTCCTCCTGGTTGAAATATAATAGTCTTTTTTGTTATATTTTCCCTAAAACTTCCTCGTTATTCCCATATTCAGTTCATGCCATTTTTCAGCATATAACCAGTTTTCATTCTCATCAATTATCTTTCATCTGCGAAGTGGTTCTCCAGAATTCACGGCTAGATAGGATGGCCGATATTACAAAACGGTTAAGTAATATCTTTGTGTCAAAGAAAATTATTCTTTTTCTTAATACTTTGCTTAGATTTTGGAAAGCGTCTTTCGCTATCCCTCTATGCTAATGGATCCCATTGTAATGACAAAAGTAGTCAGGTGTAGGCTTTAAGCTTTATTCAACTGAGAATACGAGTTTCGCGTATAGTGTCCTCTTATAGCCCTAGTTAACAGAAATAGCTCTCTCAAAAAGGAAGTAAAGAAACAAGGGAAGACCACTCTTGAGTATTCATAACAAAATCCCATATTTTCCGCCCTCTATTAAAACAATTCATAGATATTTAATTGTTTGTACTTGCTTGATTTTTTGATCTCCAATTCGTGATTGTAGTCTTGGGTTTTTCTTTTTTTTCTGGGGACCATATTTTCTGTCTTCTTACAGTTGGATATTAGTCCTTTCTTCTTGCTTTCAGATAATCAAAAACTCCACCACGAGGCAATCACATCGGCAATCCAAAGTTTTGCTCATAGAAAGCATTATTTAAAATTGAAAAATTGCCACAACAGGAAGAAAAATGCCCATCAAACATATTAATAAAAATATACATTGTTGTTATTTTAAAAGTCGCCCATCACCTAATTAGGCTCGTTCACCACTGACATTTTCGGCGGGAAAAAGGTGAATTAAGTCAGGCACGAAAATATCTTCTATTCATTAGCAAGGTGAGTGATCGAACATGCACGTCGTCCTGAATTTAGCTGTCGGCCTCAGTGGCAATGTTAGAGAGATGATCAGATGTTTTTAGGAGCGATAAATAGAATTAACTTATAACAAATAGACACACGCAGATGCTCCGATTTTCCAGAACAACAACGAAGCCCTTGTTTCAGGTGTATATATATATATATATATATATATATATATATATATATATATATATATATATATATATATATATATATACCCACGTGTGCGTGTTCGTATGTATGTGTGTGTGTGTGTGTTTGTATTCTTTGACTTCAGCATGTCTATTTTATTTTTTTTATTCATTCCTTCTTTCTTTTCTAATTATCTTTTATTGATTAACTTAATTTAAAAAATATATATATATATATCTCCATTCATCCTTTTTTTCTTTCATTCTTTTATTCTTCATCATTTAAACGTTGTTTTCCCGAATTTCTCTTCTGAAATCCTGGCTTTCTTTGAGGAATAGTCACATCGAAACAAAATTACGAAAGTAAACCCCATTTGTGTTTTTCCGAAATTTATTAAACCCTTCATTTTTTTATTTCTATATTATTATTATTATTATTATTATTATTCAATTTCTCCTCCTACTACTAAACTATCCTTTATTTTTTTCTTTTTTTTAAATTTATTTTTTTTTTTATTTCTTTTTTTATTCTCCAGTTTTTATTTTTATTTTTTTATTGACAATTGTGTTTATTGTTTCTTCAATTTCTCCTCCTATCTCTCCCTTCGTCTAATTCTTTTCTCAAAGTTTTCCTTTTCCTTTTTCATCATTCTTCTTCTTCTTCTTCTTCTTCTTCTTCTTCTTCTTCTTCTTCTTTTTTCTTCGTTTTTTCTACGTTTTACGAATTTATTCCTTTCTTTTCTTTTTTTTCTTTTTCTTTCTTTTCTTTTTTCTTTCTTTTTTTTCTTTTTCTTTTTTCTTTCTTTCTTTCTTTTTTTTTTTTTCTTTCTTTTTTTTTTCTTTTTTTCTTTCTTTCTTTCTTTTCTTTCTTGTTCCTGTTTCTGTCTCCTGTGGTCTTCTAGTCCTCTCTTATTTGTTGACTTCCTCTCCTCCATTCGTGTCTTCTTTTTTCTTATTTTCTCTTTTTCTCTTTCTTTCTTTCTTTGTTCTCTTCTTTTCATTTTTCCTCCTTCATTTCTTCTTTCTTTTTTTTCTTCTACCAATACTCTCTTCCTCTCATTTTATTTCATTCTTCTTTTCCTTTGCTATTTATTTATTTCTGATTTAATTTGCTGATTTATTATTTGTTTGTATTTTTTACGGGTTGTCAGCCCTTTCTTAGTTATTTAAAACTGAAACGTATTTTGGATTGCTGGAATATATTTTCCCGAGTGAATAATCCATTAACAATTTCTTTTGAGAATAAAAATTATATATTATATAAATCCTACTATTTAACCCATAGCTAGGAGAAGAAGATGCATTCCTACCTTTCCCAATATCGAGCCTTATCATTGCTTAGATAAGTGACGGCTTTTGAATACCAGTGCCTGTAATCCTGGATGAGCAGGGTAACGGTGTGACTTACGTCTACCTACCTGCTTATGCTAAATATAGTAGAAAAATAATTCGTCACCCAGAAGGACGTGGAGAGGCTTTTGGAGTCTATCGAGACAGGAAAGTGACGACAGGTAGATCTTGCTAATATATGAAATCCGTTCGGCTCTTGTAAAGGTCGAGAATAACGGCAACGTCTTACTGAGAGGTTGACAACCATTTCTTTATTTCGTATGTGCGGTCTTGAGATCTGGGTTGTGTTTTCCCAATAGGCGCTATCGAAGAGGAACACCCTTGTGACTGGTGAATTTCTATGTCCGTTCTGATTCGAACGGGCGGTCTTGATACTATCAGGTGAGCTGTTAGGGCTCGGTCAAAGAAGTAATCAGATTCTAAATGAAGTTTGAACTTTGTAAGAAACTGACTTCAAATTCTGTTTGATAACCATATTAAATAAGCAAATATTATTGAGATATAAAGGACGCACTTACAGTAGAAACATTTGCTCTACGGCAAGATATGTTTTATGCATAATTGCTGAAATCAAATTTCTTTCGTCAGGGACATAAAAAAAGTTACAATGTAAGGTATTCTTAACATTTTTAATAATTTCACCGCAAACAAGGAAATAAAGTCACTAAGACACAAGGGTTCGCTGAGTGTGAAAGAATAAGTAAAAGAAAACATGATTAGGACTCTAGGACAATAAAAGATGAAAAAAATAAAAAAATCAGTAGATAACGATTGGCATTGCATTTAAATTTTTAAGATCAAAGTTAGTCGGAAAGCAAGAAGCCGGAACAGAGTTCCACAGGCGAAAAGTGCGGGATAAGTAACTGTTAACGAAGAATTTAATTTACATTTAACCATTTCAAATGTAAAATGATGAGGCCTTGCCACTTAATCTATAAGGCTGTGGATGTAATGCAGTGAGAGAGAAGAGACTGTTAGCATAGAACTTGCGGTTACCTCGAGCCATTTCAACTGTAAAATGATGAGACCTTGTCGGCAATCTTGTACTGCGGTTAAAAACATAAGTGTAGGCACTATAGAGGAAAGTAATATTTATTTTGAAAAAAACAAAAATGTAGCAAAGGACAAAAGTGTGTGTGTGGGGGGGTTAAAGTTCGGCTGCACTTTAGTCTGTCTTATCTTAAACTTAGCTAGCCACAGTTACATTAATCCTTACACCAAAATTAAACATTCTTACTTACCATTCTTCCTACAACCACTATTATATTTCAAAGTCTCTATGAAATCCTAACTAGATCCCAAATGTACAATTTGTGCCATAGACGAAAGTTCATCAGAGCAGTTATCATGAAAGTATTTATAGAAAAGCTAAATTACGGCGGTGAGAAAGTGAGTAAAGACGGGTTGTCAGATTAGGACCAATAATGTTGCAGATACTTATAGATTTTATGAAGAATCTTTAAATATCTATCAGGAGCACCAGTCGAGATGTGGTCGCAGTATTCCAAGTAGGGACGAATGGCATACTTCTGAATATGTAAGAGTCTGACAAGAAATATTGTCTTGCACGACACAGTGAAAGAATTTTTCTAATAGCAGACTTTGTAATTGATTTAATATAATCTTTTCTCTTCATGTCAGCAGAAAAAGTTAGCTCGAAAAGGCGCCAATAGTCATTGCCCTGGAGGATAGCATTAGCCATGCTGATGGAAAATTGATCTAATTACATGTTGCATGATTGTTAAATTTCCCATACACCAAGCGAAAATGACTTTGATTCATGGTAAAAGTATTTACTTTCATATAAATATAAATATAATAACTCTAAAACGAATTCAAGGCAAGGTTAATTTCTAAACCCAAGCGATATTACAATAATTTCTTTTCATTCCCCAAATCGTACAGAATGTCCATCATCATTCGAATATTTCCGTTATTCTGAAAACGAGGCTTTGAAACGTCTGAGTTAATTTCAACGAAATGAATCCGACCTGCTGTCTGTAATTTCTCTTTCTGTCCCATCTGGTCTTCAATTAGGGAAAATAATTATCCCATGCTGCTATCAGTATTTTTTTTTTTTCCACCTGGGTCGGAGTTTACGATATGATATCTTTTGCAATTCACTCTACCGAGACACATCTGAATTCTTGTAGTTAACAAGTGAATCTAAACTTCTTTCTTAATAACAGTAATTCAATAAAAGACCGGCAGCTGTGGTGTCGTTGTTAGCTCGAAAATGGATGCTGTTTTATTTGTTTTTTTATTAAACAGTTCGCGATTACCGAAATAAATAAAGTGCTATTTAAATTTATGTCTGAACCTCTGGGATATTTACATTATTCACAAAGAGATTAACGTCCATAACTTTCTTATGACTATTAAAGGATTTCGGCCCGCTTTGTCTGTAAACGCACGCACGAATATTTATGACGTATTTTTAATTATCCCCTTTATATTTCAGGGTTACTGCCACATGGGTTGAAACACAAATTCCATTACGGTCATCAAAGATAAGCAACGTCGAGCCTGGTCAATACCTATATGCGTGACCGCTTTGGAGTACCAGATGCGATGAACTTGTACGAGCCGGTGGCTTAATAGATATTTCGTGGAACTGTTAATCGGAATGCCGAGTTCTAATTCCCGTTGCGTTCGTTATATACACTTACGCGCAAATAGCCTTCTGAGAGACACAAATCCACCTCTTCTTTCCCAGCTAGGGGCTAATTAGTAAGATATGTATCACTAAAGGGTTATTATCTATAAAAAAAAATGTTGTAATATAAGAATTTTTCTAGATTTAAATAACATGCCAAGGGTTGATGAGCCGTAGAAAACAAATCAATCTATATATTTCAGTTTATCAAGTTGCAAGAATACTCAAAGAAATACAAAGAAAAAGAAATCTGAAGAAAATACAACGCAGAACTATAGAGACCATATTTTTTAGTACAACAATTATATATATATATATATATATATATATATATATATATATATATATATATATATATATATATATTACACTTGAAAATTAAATTCGGTCGAGCACTTTAGAAGTAAGCACGAATTTGTAAACAGTGGCTGCTACTGCTGATAATGCAAAGCTCTTGCATGAATCGCACACACACTGTCGTAATTTATTATCTGCGAGGAGCTGATAACTTGGGGGAAAATCTCCTACTGATACCAAATCATTTGGGTTTTGATCATGGCTTGAGGAAATCGGATGTCTAGCCACGCTCATGAGCTGTAATACAGTGAAACAGTCTGTCAGTGGATGACAATATATATATATATATATATATATATATATATATATATATTTTGGTAGCATATTTTTCATGAAATAATTTAGAAAAGTAGTTAAGTAGACAAGACTTGTCTTAATTATATTTATATATATATATATATATATATATATATATATAAAAAAACTTGTCTTAATTATATATATATATATATATATATATATATATATAACTTGTCTTAATTATATATATATGTGTGTGTGTCTTTATTATATTTATTTATATATATACGTTGACGTTCAAATTCTGTAAATTCATTTTATACCTTTTCATTTTCCTTTTTCGTATTTCTCACCCTCTTTCTCGCTCACATTTACCTCCCCCTCTCTCTCTTTATATATATATATCCCATCTATTTTTACTAATCATGCCTTTATTGTTTGTATCGATAGATTGATTCGTTTTCTACAGCTTCCCACCATTTGTTGGTTATTTAAGGCCAGAAAATATTTTTTGAAATTTTTTTTTCGGTGGGGGAGATAAGGATTAATGTACAAGTTTTACTAATTAACCCATAGCTGTGGGAACAAAAGGTGGATTTATGCCTGTCTCACGGATATTTCCCTGTAACTGAATATAACGAATCCAACATAAAGTGGAACACGTCTTTCCGATTCACAATTCCGAGACTTTATACTTTACAACATCCGCCCATCCAAAGTCGACACTCATCTTGGCATTAACGAAGCTCAATGTTGATTGCCTTCGAGGATCGTACGGGGAAAGGTATTTCAACGTATGCTAATGTATGCATCTATACATTCATATTATTCCTCCACGTGATACATATGTATATTACGCATGTAAAATCCACCGAATTTCGATCTGTACTATTTATTCATTCTCCAGGAGGAAACCGTTTTCACCATTCTTTCCATGACGGGATATCCATAAATAGTGTAACGAGGACTGCCTATCGCCGTAGATTAAATGTTTCAGCTCGAAAGAGTCTGAATGTTACTTGAATCGAGAGACAAAGAAGGCCGGACAGCACAACAGCCGAAACTTTGTTCTAGAAACTCCAAAGACGAAAATAATGCAAATACTGCTAGTTGAATCATGGGCCTTTAGGAAATATATTGCTGAGTTAAAGAGGTCAATTTCTCTGAAGGGACACTGGAATAATGGTTAACGGCTGGAATAATGGTTAACGGCTCAGATTGAAGACTGCAAATATATATGCAAATATATATGCAAATATGCAAATATATATGCAAATATGCAAATATATTGCAAATATATGCAAATATATTGCAAATATTGCAAATATATTGCAAATATATTGCTGAGTTAAAGAGGTCAATTTCTTTGAAGGGACGCTAGGATAATGGTTAACGACTCAGATTGAAGACTGCAAATATATATGCAAATATATATGCAACCTCTGGAGACCTGGTACCTTGAGCGCCTACTGGAATTGAAACCTAACCCAGAACTCGTGCATACCATCAGCCAAGAACGCGTGCAAAGAGAAAGAGCTTTTAGTTTAATGACGTTCTCGGGAATCGGTTTCACAAAACAGCTCGGAGGAAGTTGCTCGTGTGGAACATCTCACCAAAGGAATAAAAATGGAACGAGGCTGGTTCGCTACAATGTGCGTGACAAGGCGGCTGTTAACGGTAAATAGTATTACTGTTGGAGATAAGGAGTGTAGATCATCTTAATACTTAATCCTTGTAGCGAACCATCCTCATTCCATTTTTATTCCTTTAGTGAGGTGTTCCACTCGAGCGACTTCTTCCCGTGAACAGCTACTTTGTGGAACCGATTCCTGAGAGGATGATCCCCAACGATTATCATAATCTAACCTTGTTCAAGAAGATTAACGTTGTTTGATTGTTAATCTTTCCATGGTTGAAATTGCCAAAGACTTAAGTTGTTAAATCTGAAAGAAAAAGAAGAAAAAATATTAGACGCTTAAACGTAATTCACATTTAAAATCTGTCCAAGTTATTGGAATACCCAATATAAGATAAGGGTTAATCCTCTTGAACAAGGTAAGATTGTAATGATACTGGCGATGCTCTCGGGAATCGGTCCCAAAGAACACTTGAAGAAGTTGCTGAAGTGGAACATCTTACCAAAGGAACAAAAATGGAATGGGGATGGTTCGCTTAAATATGCGTGGCAAAGCGAATCTTAACCATAAAAGGTATTACTGTTGGAAATAAGGAGTCTAGATCATCTGAATACTTTCCTTGGAAATAGCGACAAAGCAACTAGCAACGTGTCAGCAGTGAGGAAGATGTTGTAGGGTGGACAATAATTCGTCATCCGGAAGGACGCGGAGAGAAGTATTGGAAACTATCGAGAGTGGAAAAAGAAATCTGGACAGCTCCTGCCCATATATGGCAGCAGTACTCCATTTCCATCTTGATCCGTCTCTTGTAAAGGTAGAGCATAGCAGGAGGAGTCAGGCACTTGCTGAAGTGGAACAGGGAACCGACCATTTTCCCAACATCTTTAGAGATAGATCGTAGGCACGCGTTCTTGGCGGATGGTATGCACGTGTTCTGCGGTGAGTTTGAATTCCTGGAGGCTCTCAAGGTAGGAGGTCTCCCTGGAGGCGCATCTGTTCATCCTATATATCGGCATGACCTGTGCCTCTTCATCTGTATCCCTCTACCACGAATAGCCGTCGGCTCTTGTACAGGATCAACGTTATTAAACTAAAAGCTTTTTCTCTTTGTCTGTCATGGCGAACAATATTTTACTAAATAACATAATGTTTAATATTTATTTAAATATAAATGATGTAACATGAATCTAAAGTATTTTATCGCGTTTTCTTAATAGGGGTGTATTGAGACATTTGGGAAAAACATTGTTTTTCTGTGGTAACTGAATGGTTAAAGAATCGTTAAATGAATTGAGGTCAAATTCCCATTAAGACTGCTGGGTTTATTTCAGGCAAATGAAGACAATGTCCCGAATTCAAAGCAGGATAGAACGGCCTTGTGTATTTAAAAGAGTCCTTTTATGTTAAAGATGGTGAAAGATGTAACGGAAAATCATTGCACAATTTTCCCGAAAAAGACATGGTAATCCACAAGAATCAATGCGAAGTCATGGTTGTTGAAATTCTGAAACATCTGACGTTTTAAATGCGTATTGAGTTGATTGTCTTACTTTTAGAAGAAGAAGAAATGTTCTTTGTTTCAATTTGTGAGTAGAGTAATAGTTATCGGCTCGAGAAATGTAGTGTGTGATCTGAAACTAATGTTTCGTTTTAAGTTTCAATTTCGAACCATTGACCTGGAAAAAGGGATGAATCTATTTCTCTTCCATCGTTTTATAGGTTAAATTTTAGGGTAGACAGTGATCTCTTGTTTGTTTGGTAACCAACATAGGAGAGAAAATGAATTAACTGCCGTGGAATAGGCAACTGGAAAGCACTGGATTACCATTTCCCAAAGTAAGGACAATTTACAGATAATAAAGAAAAGGAATCAGTGAAGAACAAGGTCTGAATGGATGCCATCTAAAGAATAATGTTTTTTTTTTTTTTTTTTTTGTTATGCTTTTGTTATTTATATATATTATATATATATATATATATATATATATATATATATATATATATGTTTAGTTCATTTCTTCTCAATTGTATTCATGTTATCTCCGCTTTTAACTTTCTTAATTCTTCTGTTTCTTCCTCTTTTCTTATTTGTTTTCTTTTATCTTTCTATTTCTTCCTTTATATAATTTTTATCTTCTTTCTATTTATTGTCTTTTATATTTCGTTACTACTCTTTTTATTTTCTTCCTCTTTTCGCTTGTTTTTTTTTAACCTTCTCCAGACCTTACCGCTTTTCTCGTTCATTTTCCTCCTATTTTTTTTTGTTATTTTCTTTCTTTTATATTCTTTTTATCATCTTTCTTTGTCTTTTATTTTTCTCTGCCTCTCTTTTTATTTTCTTCTTCTTTTTTCTTTTGCTTTCTTTTTTAACCTTCTCCTAATTTTACAACTTTTTGCGATTATTTTCTTCCTCTTTTTTGTTATTTTCTTTCTTTTTTCTTCTTTTATCTTCTTTTTATCTTCTTTCAATTTTTTTCTCTTTCACCTCATTTATTTATTCATCTTTTTTTTCATTTTCTTTTTAAAATTCCTTCATGCTACAACAATAAATACTTCTTTTTCTTTCTCTGTCTTTGTCTTTCTTTTTTCTCTTTCTCTTTCTTTTCTTCTTTTTCACGTCTTTTTAATCATTCCCATTTTTCTTTTACCTTCCTATTTTTTTTTCATTTGTCTTCTTCCTTTATTTTTCTTTCACGTTTTGTCGTTCATTTTCTATATGTCTTTCCTTCTTCTTCTTTTATTGCGGTTTTCTTCAACTTTCCTTTCCGATTTTCTCCAGATTATCTTTGTTTGCGCATTTCTTATATTTTCTGCTTTTCTTGTGTATTTTTTCTTTCATCATTCTTCCTTCGTTTCTCTCTTTCTACGTTTTGTCCTTTTTCTCATTCTTTTTTTTTCTTCTTCCTTTCTGTGTGTATCATGTTTCCTACTTTTCTTCTTTTCTTTCTGAATTCCTCTTCTTTTCATTTTTCTCTATTCTTTTCTTCTTCTTCTTCTTCTATTGTTTATTATATATTCTTTTTAATTATGGTCTTTCATTTTTTTCATCCAATTTTCTTTTTTCATTCGTTTTCCTCTTTCTTTTTATGTTCCGCCATTTTTCGGCTCTCTTTTTTTTTTTTTTTTCTCTTATTCCTACTTCTTTCTTCTTTTCTTTTTTCTCTTCCTTTCACTTTCTTCCTATGTTCTTCTTCTTTTCTTCCTCTTTTTGTTTCTTTTGTTCTTTTTTCTTTCTTCTCGTTTCTCTTTCCTTTTTTCCTCTTTCATTTTCTCTTTATCCTCTTCTCCTTGTCTCTTCTTCAACACCTTTTAATCTATTTCTTCTTATTAATTAAAAACAAACGTTTTCCACTATATTCCTCACATTTATATTTGTTCATTTTTTCCCAAAACATTATTTCGCGCCATCTCTTTGATCTTCTTTGCACGTTACATTCTTTCTTCATTTCCCTCTGTCCCCACCCGCGCGCCATCTATGCTTCCTTCAGTTCTTGCTTATCTTTCCGACCAAAGCACCGGCAAAGCACTTATTAATACTCCCTTTTATGTAAAGCCCATTCCAGTTATCTTTGCAAAACATTATCGGTTGAGAAAATTGCATTATTTTTCTGTCTGTTATTATATTACATATTATAATGATACTCCAAGTCATCGTACAAACTTCGATTTAATGAGATTCTATTCATTTGCCTCTAAACTCGTAGCTCGACCAAATGTGTGCAGATAATCATGAAGCCAAACTTTGTACAGGACAAGCCTCAAAGAAGAGAGCACTCATTGCAGTTCGAAATCATTACCGGATAATGGCTTCATCATACAGCTTTTCATGCTATTGCTATATAATATGGGGGGTGTATATATTTACATGCTTAGCTTAAACTAATTTGAAGGTTATGAAAACGGATCATTAAGCATTAAAATCTATACAACAATAATTATCGGACACATTCTGACATGATATAGATTTGACCAAAGATATATTGTAGCCACCACTTCACGGCTACTTCTTTTTCTTAACAATTCTCCTATACCGTGCTTTTCATAATTTATATATTATATTATATAACAGAATTAGATAGATTTGCCTATCGTCCCGTTCACATCCCTCCTCGGTCTTTTTAAAAAAAAGCAGTAGATTTATCTCCCTTATTTCCTGTTACGGATTGTCTTTCCGGTTCATTCTAAAGTCTGCTGCAACACTATACTTCTAACCTCTCCGCGTAAAACTATTAACTTTTATTTACTATTCATGTAAGTTTTTTTTTTCCTAAATAGGAATAGATAGGCTTGACTATCGCACTGATTACATAAACTCTTTGATCTTTTGAACAAAAGCAGATGTTTATCCCCCTTTTTTTCTCTATGCCATTGGTTTCTGGTTCCTTCTAAAGTCAACGTCAAATCTATATTTGTAATAGCTCTGCTTAAAACTCGAAATATCTTTTTTACTATTTATATAGTTATTTTTTTATTAAATAAGAATAGATAGGAATGCCTATCATCTGGTTCACACACTTGTTTTTTTTTTAATCAATTCACCCCAAACAAAGCAGGAGTGCCGCTAGCACACAAGGGGTTACAGAGGATTGAAAACAAGAATAAAGAGGCGTGCATGAGGAAAAGAAAACATAGAAGGACGTGGAACAAGCTCAGGATATCTGATGTAGATTGACATTACACTTGAATATTTGAAGATTATAGCCATCGGAGAAAAAAGTAAGGGGAAGGGAGTTCCACAGACGGGAAGTGCGAGTGAAGAAGCCGTTTGAGTAGAAGAAATGGTTACATTTAACCGTTTTGACAGTGAAAGGGTGGGACCGAGATGCCAGACGGGTAGCTCGCTTAAATTCATGCAGTCTGAGAACCAGCAGGAGTAGATAGAAACAGTTGACGTGGAAAGAAGAGTCTTTTGAACAGCAGAAGAAGTTTATCGCGTTTCCTATTTAGGGTTGGGATTCCGGTTTCTTTAAAATCTTTTAATTCTAGTGGCTCCTTGCAAATTTTTAGCATTGTCATCCTTGCTTGGGGTCGTGCCTATCAACTTTTAACTCTCTCCCCCGAGTGTCGTTTGGGTCTTGTGACGAGTAAAGATCATTGTGAAAAAAGAAAAAAGTGTAACAAAAATCTCGTTCAGCTTATTCCATCTCCTGGACTGGTTTTCTAATCAGTGTTCAAGAGTGCAGCCAGTCGTATTATCCATGGTGTGAAGAGATGTACACATGGATTGCCCGACTGCGGAAGTGTGAAATAAACGCAACAGACTTTGCTGCGATTTAAACATTGTGTGATATTGCCATTCCCACAGAGATAACAACACAATGAATATTTTTTTAACTTAATTTAGTTTGATAGGAGGCAAAAATACAGTTTTTTTTTTTAAATCAGGAATTGGCAATGGCGTGAATACATATAAATAAAACCTTACAAGACGGGTCTAGAATTGTTTCGGTCCGGTAAATTTGACAATATGTTAAATATTTGCAAAATCACAATGATTTTGAAGTACGAAGGATTTTTTATAAATTGGGTAAGGACATATCATTCGCTACTAGTATCCACCTATCTATGTAAGTCTGTTCTTTATCTATCTATCTATCTATCTATCTATCTATCTATCTATCGATCTGTCTGTCTGTATGTTTATCTATCTTTCTAAATCTGTTCATTATCTATCTATCTATCTATCTATCTATCTATCTATCTATCTATCTAGTCCGTTCTTTGTCAATCACAGAATGTTCTTTATCTATCCCAGCCTGTTTTTATCTCTCCCTGTCTTTCTATATATCTATCTATCTATCTATCTATCTATCTATCTATCTATCTATCTATCTATATATATATATATATATATATATATATATATATAGATAGATAGATAGATAGATAGATAGATATAGAAAGACAGGGAGAGAGATAAAACAGGCTGGGATAGATAAAGAACATTCTGTGATTGATAAAGAACTGACTATATATATATATATATATATATATATATAGATAGATAGATAGATAGATAGATAGATAGATAGATATAGTGCCATGGGTCTTTACCTATAACGACAGAATGAACTCTTCCTAACACTATGTATACTACGCCTGTCAAGAGAGAGGGTCGAATCGAGTCGAGCCGATAATTGTTCACTCCAAACCAGACTGACAGTCATACTAACACCTTCCACAACTTGTATTATTATTTCGTGTAATACACCTTCGTTATTTCTACTCTTGTGTTCGTGTTGTTCTTCCTTGGTCCTAACCTGGACCAAAACATATAGAGAGATAAAAAAAGATTGTGATAGAACACACTGAGATAGAAAGATAGAAAGATAGATAACAGATTGATATCTATCTATCTATCTGTTTATCTATCTCAGTGTGTTCTGTGATAGACAGCAAGTTAGATAACAGATATATATATATCAGTCTGTTATCTATCTCTCTCTCCCTATCTATCTATGGTAGTTGCATTCTAACACTCCTGGGATTATTCTACTATCTGGGCTAGACTTTACTTTAACAAATATCAGATGTGACTAAGATGGAATATTAATGCCATATCTGGGCTGAAGCTGTACCATTATCTCGTTCAATGCTTTAATAACACATCAATTTGTTTATGCGAGTTTGTTAAAGAAAATGTATTCTCCTCTCTGCGGCCCCAGGCACAACGTCTCAATCCTGTCTCTTCTCTATCTTTATTTCCATAGCTCCGTTCGTTATTTCCACCAATTCACACTGTCATATTTGGGACACGCTATGCCACTTGCACGAAATCGAATCACCCTCATTTTCTCAGCGTTCCAAAGTTAGGAAGAAAATTTCACCCAGACAGCCTCTGCCCAAGAACTGTCACAATTTGTTATTTTCAATGAATATTAAAATCTTCATCAAATTAAGATTCTCGTTACTGATCATCCTCATAATATTCACTGCCTACAACCACACCTTTCTTACAATTTTGAAATTAATTCCCTAACCTAAGTGAATCTCATGATTTGTATCATGTGACTTATATTTAAAAAAAATAATGATCGGCGAGACAGACATGGTAATAATTGATACAATGTTTATGGTCCTATTAATTGCGTATAAAAGTTCACGGATCAATAGCCCATTAGATTAAAGCGTTTTCCTCCTGAATTTGTTTTTTATATTAATTTTGGGTTCAATCCTTGGGGCAAGTAGAAAAGTGTCAGACAGTGGAATCAGTATAAGAAATGGCTTAGCATTACTATGAGGTTGCTACACATATTCGTTCGCTTTCCATAATTGCTGTGGCCGTATTAGGGCCAGAAATAAAGTCGCAAATAAAGGAATTGAGTTAAACAAATATATTAACAGAAACAGTAATACAAACATACAAACGAGTGTCACAGTAAGAATGTTCTGTCCGACTGTCAGGGCTGACTGCTGGAAACTTCCCTCTTTAAAAGGCATCCCGTCTCGAAGTATTGTCTAATCTGAAATAAAAATCAAAAACTTTCCAAAAACAGTCAGTAAAAAAGAACGGAAAAAAAGGTAAAATAAAATATAGACTTAAACAAATTTGAAGTTCACAAAAAAAAAAAAAAACAACAAAAACAGTTCATTTGCAGGAAAACGTCAGGTAGCAATCCCCAGTCGTATCAGGTCTAAAAAGAAGCTGAAAACTTCCCTCTCCAAATGGCAATACCTGCTCCTATTTATAGATAGGAGAGCCCATGCGTGCGTGGGTAAATTACCATAACAATAATTTAATTTGATACTTATTATTTATTAACAGTTCTGATGAGTAATTCAACGATGTATTACCTTTCATTGTTTACGACTACCTCCCAAAGATTCACTAACCTTTCAATGCTTTACCAAAATAAATCACAAGATTTTGAAGCACCATATCATTGTTGAACGAGACACCCTTGAAATTATTACAAAGCGAGTGGTAGTGTGAATGGACTAAAACAGGAGAATATGGAGCAGAACTTCCAAACCTAGCTGTTTAATTGCATGTTTGGTTATGTCAACGAATTTGGGGCGAGAAATTATATCAAATAATCACACTGTAACGACGGTCAGGTCTTTTCCGGTGACTTGTCTCTTTGAGGCTATTTTCAACAGACAGCCTAGCGTTGACAGTTACCTATTGAGTGTCGATGACATGCAATAACACGAGAGCTTGCTATCTTCTAAACTAAGTCCCAAGTGTCTCTTCTTTAATCAGCGCCAGCAGATGGTTTCCATCAGCTAGAAAGCAAAGAGTTTGTGGGTTTAAACTTCCCCTCATTGAAACGGGAAAAACATTAATGTGCCATTGTGTTGGTAATGATATAATCTCCGTACACAACACAAATAT